ACAGTGACTTGACTTGTCATAAAAACCCCCATCGGGTCATCAAGTACCGTCCAACACGGCGTAGCCGAGGGGAACACAAGGTCAAGTTGAACATGGGGATCAGCCGCCCCCAACCAGATTAGGGGCTCGGAAGGAGGACAACTTCTCTCATCAAAAAGAATAGAAGGACGGTTGAGGATCAGTCCTTTGGAACGTGACAGGTTGAAAGCGTCCTTGATGATCACCGAGTACGTGCCAATAGAGAATGGGCGCTTACTTGGCTGCGCGGAGCATGCAACAGTCAAACAACCCGCCCGAGCTCACGACGTTCGGTATGTCCACCCGTTCAGGGTCCGCGGTACGACCATGCCACAACCGGGTTTGAGATCAGCAGATCTTCAACTGCGTCCTTGATTCCTGGCGGGGATTGGTTGCGAGGATTGGCAGGAAGGGCCCCCCTTCAATCCGGTCATTTTCTGCAGACCGCTCGGGAAATCAATAATTAACTGGTATTTTTTGCGACTTATTTCTTTCTTGCAGCAAGAAAAAAGCACCGTGCATTTCGCAAGTTGACTCCGCCCCCAAAGCCTCGTAAGCTTTTACTTGGGATGTGGTATTTCTCGGGTTTGACAATGAGGTCATCAGCGGGGATTCCTGGAGCCCCTTCGAGAGCCGTTTCAGATGTGTGGGGTCCCTTGTGAGAAACAGAATGGCAGTCAGGCAGTGCAGTGGTGGTCCATGGTTCGGTAAAAGAGGTGTCGATCTCGAAGCTGTCGATCAAAAGTGCCGTTGGGATCTGCGATGCTGGCGACTAGGGTCAGTTTTTTCCTCCAGTCGCTTGGAGCGAGATGCAAGTCGAAGACGGGAGAAGGGTAGAGGTCAAGGATGCAGCAATCTATAGCCCTCCAACGTCTGTGTATATTTTCCCAAGCGAACAAGGTAGCACCCGATCCAATACCGCGATGTTGCACCAGTACATGGACTTTCTCCTTGAAGCTGCTTGACCGATGAAGAAGGCGGCGGTCTGGATCGACGTGTGCCAAGTGCCGAGCACTAAGCACCTAAGCTCCCGCTGCCGTCGCTTGGCATTGGTCTCACGATCTGACACCCCGCGAAAAGGATGCAAAGAAGCCTTGACTTGCGATTCGCCTTTGCACGCTAAACCAATACGAAAAATCTCAGAAATACAAGCAAGTGCGCCCTCTGAAACTGTTACGGCGCCACAGACCAATGGTGAGACAAGTCTCGCCAAACCGCAGTGAGACGGAAAGTGAGACAACGACTCGTAAGTCGTAAAACACAAAGGGGTGCCCGATTGGGATTTGGTTGTGCTGCTCTCACTTGCCGCTTTGGTGCCAAGCCCTCACTGCTTATCTTATCGGCCACTTATCTTATCGGTACCACAACACAGCGCCTTCGACCACTCGGCCATCCCTTGAGTTTCGATGTTTTTTGGACCCCAAATTCACCCCAAATTCACACCAACCTCGACCCTTCCAACCTCCCACCCCTCCAATCCTCCCACATCCCCACCGATCCCGCGGCCTGCAACACCGCCCCAGTCGTCTCGCGCACCACCACCGGCGCCGGAGCAAACCGCACCCTGCTGCCACTCCCGCTCCCCCCAGCACTCACGCCACCCCGACCCAGCAACACTTCAAAAACCCCCCTAATCCGCTCCAACACCACCCGCGTCCTCCCCCCCGCCACATCCACCATAAACCTCAACACCACATCCCGTTCCTGCCCCCTCTCACCCTCCCCCTCCCCATCCCCATCCCCATCCCCATCCCCAATCCCCCCCCCCCTCACTACCACCACCTTCCCCCCCCTCTCCCCCTCCACCAACCCCCACCACTCCCCCTCCACCAACCCCCACCACTCCCCCGCCGTCCGCACCTCCTCCTTCACCGCCGCCGACAGATGCGGAAACGCCCAAGCCAGCGGCTTGGCCCACGGCGGGGCAGTCCTGTGGGTGTCGCGGTGCAGCGGGTCCGCGTCGTCGTGGTTGACGGCCCAGGGCCGCGAGTGGCGCGCGCGCTGGTGGTGCGAGGCGGTGGATTCGGAGCAGTAGGTGCAGGGGAGGGGGAGGGGTTCATTGGGGGCGGGGGGGGTGACGTGGATGGGGGCTGGAGGGGTAGTGGTGACGTGGATGGGAGGGGTGGTGGTGGTGGTGGTGGTGTTGGGTTTGCGGCGTTTTGGGGGCGGAGAAGAGGAGTCGGGGTTGGGATCGGGGGAGAGGGCGCGCTTTTGCTTGGGGCTGGTTGGGGTGGGTGGTGAGGCGGGGTGCGTGAGTTGGTGCTTTGCGAGAGCGAGCTTGTCGCCGATGGATTTGAGGAAGGCGTTGCTTAGGGTGGTCATGAGCAGGGCTTTCTCGACCTCGGCGAGGCTTAGGGCCGGGTGAGGCGTGTTGTTTTCATTACGGGTCTCCGCGAGCTTTTGGGCCGTGGTGGCCTCCTTGGCGATAAACACCCCAAGCGATGCATGATGGGCCTTGGTGGCCAGGGTGCTCACGAATAACGATGGTAAGTGCGTGTCCGCGGATATCTCCTCGTGGGCGGCCTGCAGCGTGTTGTCGAAATCCCACCACCAGTGACCTGCTTTGCCTGGGATGTTTTGTTGCCCGGGCTCGTCTTTGGGTAATGTCTTCATCCGCCAACGAACAACCAGGCTTCTACCCACAGTCGTCATGGCTTGAAAGAACCTGGGTGAGATGTCGACATCCCGCCGCAAACTGTCGAGTAGTCCGTTTACCTGGTCTTTTTGAGATCTGTTTAGACCAGACGTAGGCCGCTCCGCCAGGATCCGAAGCAGCACAATGCCGACGGTATCTGACGGGTACTCGTTGAAATGCGGCGCTTCCCAGCTGTACCCATAGTCCGACATGACAGTAATCTTTTTAGCTGCCACCGCTCCCTCAGCGGGCCCTTCTGCTTCATCCTCGGGCGCTGAGCTGGACGAGGCATACGCCGGCGGCGGCGGACTTCTCAAACCCTTGCCAGTTACGCGACTCGCTTGGTATTCTTCTGTTGAAGAGAGCTCCGCCTCCTCAACCTCCAGAGCAAGTATCCGCAATTCCTCCAGCGCCGTGTCACCACCGAGCAAGTGCAGAACGCGCACGACACCGTCGCGGATTCGGATCCACCGAGCCACATCATCACGAAAGCATGTTTCGCAGTAGACGCTCCCTGGGCGCGCAGGGCCGCGCGGTGTGGCGTGGAGTGGCGGCGCGTTTGTTCCCACGTTCCAGATGGCGGGGTCGGGTTCGGGTGCGTTGTCTATGACAGGAGGGAGGGGAACAGGAGGAGAAAGCGGCGGTGGTGGCGGTGGTGGTGGAATCAGCCGTGAAGTCCCGGCTGGCTGTTTGGGCGGTGATGGCGGGAACGGGTACGGCGTGTCGGCAACGGCTCGGTCAACGACAACATTGGGTTCGGGCTCTTTCGGGGCAGGCTGCTGCTTTTTGGGGCGCTTTTTCGCGGCCTTTCGGAGCTTCGTGTGTTTGGGATAGGGCCCAGGGCCGGTATCAATGTAATCCGCGTCCATTGACTTGTCGTGAGGGTCGGCTTCTTGGTTTTCGCTGAGCTCTTCTTCGCTTGTCACAGCCGTATCAGGCGCCGGCAAGGAAAGGCTCGCAGCCGCCTCCTTGACCAAATCGACGGACACATTTTGGGCAGAGGGCTTTTGCATAGCCTTGGTCGCCGTCTTGTTGATGCTTGGGGCTTCCTTCTTCCGCGTGACCTCCACTGGCCTAGACTGGGCTTGTGCATCCCCAGCTGAGCCAGCAATGCCATATATATCCCATGGGATTGCAGGTGTTTCCGGTGCCGGGGCAGCTGGTTCGGGCTTCACGATGTTCTCGGGGGGGGTCTTTGGTGGCAGTGGACCTGCGGTAGATTCTGGCGTTTTTGTTCCCTCTGGGCTTTCGTAGAAGTCGATAGCTTTAGGGCGTTGGCGCCGGGACGCCGGTTTCTTGGCCGAGGGTCGGACGGGTCCGATCCCGCCACCTGTGGGCGGGTTGTTCGGTTGTGACGGAGAACCGGCTACTTCTTGCAGGCCCGATGCTGGCGACGCCTGCTCTTCTACAGGGAGCTGCCGTTTCGTCTTCATCCCGGTCTTGGTCATCGTCGCTGCTGTCTGAGACCCCTTGGCCTTTGGGACGGCTGTTGGCTTTTTTCTAGCTTTAGTGGCGGGCTTGGGGTCTTCAGTAGGGTGAGAGCTACCAGGTTGGATATCCCCGGCGGAAGGATCCTCTTGTGGCTGGGAACTCGCTGCTTGTGAGGCTGTCATGGACCTGGTCATCCGCCTACCCACGGACTCATGAGTAACCATCGCTTTGGTCTCTCCTCCCGACTTCTTCGTTTCTCTCTGCTGCGCAGCCTTTTTGGCGTTGAGGCTTGCTGGTTTTAGTATTGCAGTATGTCGAGGCGGAGGAGAGTATTGAGGTTTCCTCGGTTTTCGTGAGAGCGGCTCCCCCTCGGTACTAATTGCTGGTTAAACTTCCTTGTTTAATGGCTCCATTGAGGCCACGGGCGGTAAGGGAAATGAAGGCAGTATTCAACTATTCGACATGGCAGCCATATTATCCGCGTTATCTGGTTAACGAAATTCTTTAGATCCTATCAAAGGCTGCGATTTGTCTGGGAGCCGGCAGCAGGTGTGACAAGAAAAGGGATCTCCCTCGCAATAATTGGGCTGCTCAAGGCGTCGACCTAATTTATTCATGTAAATGCAAAAAGCTGGTCAAATATGCCAGAGCAAACCTCAACAGAGCTGCCAAACTTGCACTCAAGCTCCTTTGTTTCCAGGGGAGGCAGTCGAGCTAGTCGTTTCCGGCGCGACGTTGGAGTTGAACAAAGATAGGGGGCTGAAACTAGACGCAAGGAACGAACTGAACCCCTAAACGGTATCAATATCGCTATCCAATACAATGCACGAGTCGTACACTGCCTCTCTAGATCCGGCAGTCAATGGCATCCCGGAGCGTGTCATTCAAGACCCATTCTTGGCATTTTATAGGATATGGCAAGGTGGCCGAGTGGTTAAGGCGCTGGTTTTAGGTTATTTACCACCAGTGGGAAACCGCGCGAGTTCGAATCTCGTCCTTGTCAAAATACATTTTTTGAGTTTTGCGTCGTGATCGGTTGAGATTGGAGCTGAAAACCCGACTCAACAGCAAATCCTTAGGCGAGCCACACCAAAAAAAGAGGCACCCTAACCCTAGCTATTCACCTCTTTGCCATCCCCACACATTCTTGGAGAGCTTGCTCCACTGTGTGAACATCACACCATCCCAAAGCACATCAAACACAGCATCAACATGGTTGTCGTCGATGAATAAGCGTTGCTTTACAGCACAGAATTCACAAATAAATTCCTTTTTTGTGAACTAAAATTGGAGGCCCCCAATACTGGCCCGCATTTTTGTCGGCTGAAAACTGAGGGCTGCTTCGTTTGCAGAACTCAACAGCCTCAACCTGGCATCACGCTGCACAGCTGGGATGTGAGATCGATGGATTAATAACATCTCAATCAAATACATCGCCATCGCATCGCGGCGATTCCACACTCCCATTATCCCACACTTTCCCATCCTCAGTTCCAATCCCCCGCCATCATGTCTCAATCCTCCTCCGAAACCCCTCTCCTCTCTCGCGACCTCGCCTCGCCGCCGCCCTCCTCGCCGACGCGTCTCCGCCCCAAGATCGCCAACCGCATCTCCTCCGGCACGCCGCAGCCGGAGCGCCCTCACATCGAAACCCACACGGGCCAGTACGACGCTATTCTGCGCGATGTCATCATCGGCTTCTCCGATGGCCTGACCGTGCCGTTTGCCCTGACGGCGGGCCTGTCGTCGCTCGGCAACTCCAAGATTGTCATCATGGGAGGGCTGGCTGAGTTGTGCAGTGGCATGATCAGCATGGGTTTGGGCGCGTATCTGGCCGCCGATACGGAGCGGCAGCATTGGTGCGTGGCCCCTCGCCATCATCCATTGCGTCCTTACTAATACCCCTCCCCATGACAGGGAAGCCGAGTACGCGCGCGAATCCGCCGAAGTCGACACGATGCCGGCGATGGAGCGCGCCGAGATCCACGACATCCTCGCCGGGTACGGCATCAGCCGGGCCGCCAGCGAGCCGCTCGTGCGGGAGCTGACGGTGTCCAAGGAGCAGTGGGTGCGCTTCATGATGGAGTTTGAGCTGCGCCTGCCGGAGCCCGATGCCGGCCGCGCGTGGGTGTCGGCCGCGACCATGGGGCTGAGCTATTTCGTGGGCGGCCTGATCCCCATGCTGCCGTATTTCTTTCTGGAGCGGACCGATTATGCGCTGTTGGTGTCGTGCGCGATTACGGTGGTTATTTTGTTGGTGTTTGGGTTTTTGAAGAACTGGGTTGCCATTCGGACGCGCAAGGCTGGCGTTTGGGGTGCCATGCAGACGTTGGTGGTGGGCGTGTTGGCCGCTGGGACGAGCTATGGCATTGTGCGGGCGTTGGATAACGCTGGTAGTTCGTGATGGCGGGTTGATGGGTACCTCAGTATCTAGAGGTGTGGTCTCTGGCGAGGGAAGGCAGCCATGATGCCCGCAGGGAGAGGACCGGGGGTTTATTACGATTAACCTGAAGTCGCCTTCTTGATATGGCGTGACCTTTTCATGATCCCCAAAAACACGTTCAGTCCTCTGGCGAGCCTCCTTGACTTGACGTGGGAAGAAGCCATTCCCACTCCCGCGCCGAAACACGCTCATCTTCGTCAACCCGTCAATACTGTCAACCAGCCTTTGCCCCCGTGCCCCCGGTTCCACTTCGGCTGCGAGTCGGTGTGATACAACTGCGATTCAGGGATGGCCCGCACCGCCTTCATGATCTTTCCGGCGCCGTTGAACTTCGAGTGCCAACTTACACCACTCCCCATCCGCCACCCCCCATCACCGTCTTCCATCCCAACTCTCACATGCCCCTCTCCCTCCACAGTGCCCATTGGCCCTTAATATACACACCCTGTGCTCCCCACAGCAACTTCCCCCCGCAAAGAGACGCACAGCTGGTTTGGCGAAGCGGGGGGAGCGTAGACTCGTAAATCTGTAAAGCGCAATGGTACACCCTTCTAGGAGGGTGCGGGTTCGAATCCCACCGAAGTAAAACTCCCTCGAGGAGTTTTCGTAGCCCTCTACCTTCCGTCAATTAAAGGCGGAGGTTAGGCGGTGAGCTTTTTGACATTCTTTCCTTGCTCTTTTCCCTTTATCCCGTTTTGAACCGGCCTCGAACGGTACCGGCGCAGCGAGGGGGCACCAAACTCATCTTCGTCGCCGTACGATCTTCAGTCACCGACTCCCATTTCGCCAACAACTACCCGTTGCTCGCAATCGCCCACAACCTGGACCTCAGCCTTTCCTTGTAGAATCACAGTCCCGGCCTGCACATTTAAGAAAGGCATCCGCGACTCGTTGGTACCTAGATCAAGAAAGCCCACACGTCGCCACAACCACATCAACTCCAATCAACGATCGATCCAACATCCCAACACCACCAAGACCGACCGGCTGGAGAGCGCGTACTGTACTGGTGACGCTGGACGGGGCTGATCCACGACCAAGACCGCGGCAACGGCTACGAGCCCCTCGGGAACAAAGACGATGGCAAAGCCTACGCGTTCTGCACCAACCATGATGGGCAGATTTCTTGGTAGTTTGACCAATGTGAGCAACAACATATTAAAAACATGTTTTATTTCGGATTCGTCAGTATCTGCAAGGGAGCTGAAGCTGAGTGAGCCCGGCCAGATTGTTTGCCGGGTGGATTTGGATTGGAAACCCTATCACATAAAATCCGACGGGTCCTGCTCCCGTTCCCTCACAAACTTCAGCGCTTTCCATTCCATGTTCCCCCCATCCCCGCCCATGAGGTACTCGAACGCGCTCATGACCTCCTCCGCCGGCCTCCAACCTTCGCTGACTTGCCACGTCACTCTTCCTTGCCCCCGTATGTTAGACGCCTCGTATTTCACTCCCCACCGAAACATAACGGGTCCATTCTTAGCCGACGGCGGCGCGTCATCACTCCCGAGATACTCCCGGGCCCGCTCCTCAGAGGGCCGCCATGTGAGCCAAGTAAACAGCATGAACTCAGCGTCTCGCATGGGGAGGATCCGTCGCTTGAGAGATGACGCAAACCCCAACAACAAAGGGTTGATGCGCTCCGCGATGGGGCGTATCCGGAACATGTCTGGCTGCCGTTCCAGGCACACGTCGTCTTCGTCGCCGTGCTCATCTTCCTGGTCGCTTTCCAGACCGGGCGGGTAGTGCTCCTTCGTTATGAAATACCCCTCAGGGTGAGGATCCTCGCCTCGCGGGCCAGAAAAGTACCACCTGCCGTCAGGCGCACACGGGTGGAACTCGATCTTGAGACGCCGCATGTGAGGCCACACCAGAGGACGGCCCACACTCGGGAAAATATCAGGCGTGCGTGATCAGCGCGCGGACGTCCAATTCCTCCAGGCAAGTCGCCAGGTCGCGCAGCCCCAGCGACAGGGGGTCACCACCTCCAAACTCGTGCCACTGCATTGCACACACAAGGTCAGGCATCGGCGCCGCTTGGTCAGCGTCCTCGCCGCAGGGACTGGGCTTCCAGAACCAGAGCCGCGCCTTTTTAAACGAGATGGGGAGCTGCAGCCGGACGCGACGTACGGTCCGACAGAACTCCATGCGGGCATCGCGCCAAGGCCTTCCCAGACGCGGGCGGTTTGGCGAAGGGCGCGGGACGTGAAGGGGGCGGGGAGGTGCTCCCATAGGTAAGGGCAGTCGAGCGTGCGGAGGTCGGGGAGACGGGTGGCGACTTCGAGGGGCAGTCCGGGGGATACGGGTCGCATGTGGATCATGTTCAGTTCTGGATCGGACGTGTTTGGGGAGGAGAGGATGCGCAGTTGGGTGACACCGCGTAGGAGAGGTAGTGTGTCTGGGTTGTGGACGGACGGTTCAAGCGGGGTTGTAACTCCCAATGGTGGTTTCGGTTGATGATGTCTGCATTTGACCAGCCCATGTTTCTCCATCCCAAGCAAATCGTACAAGGCCTCTCTAGGTATGGGGGCATTTTCTTGGGTGTGTTAAATCTAGATAGCTATTCAAGGAATCCGTTTCTGGTGACAACGATATAATATGCCAAGGAGACAGTCCTGACTTCACTTATTTATGAAATTGGCGTCAAGTCATGCAAGGAACGAATTTTACCCTGATGGCAACGAGTTCGACGCTGTTTTCTTCGTATGGCAACGACGTGTGTGTGATAAATTAGCTAAAAAAAAGAAGCAGGCCCATGATGGCGGCCGTCTGACATGTAACCGGTGGTCAAAAGGTTCGGCCGCCAACGGCCATCCCATCTACCCAATATCAGTCCTTGTAAACTGCCGGGGATGATACACCATTTCATAAGCTGATACCATGATCCCATGGCAAATAAGATGGAGGCATGTTGTGCATACGAGTACTCGGAGGTGCAGAATCGACGCCGTGATCATCCTCTCCTCATCCATCTAGGTGTGTGATGTCCGGTTCGGCATGGCCCGGGCCCCGGCCACCACGGACCTGACCGCCAGGCCAGTGTGTTGCATACAAATTGATGGAATATAAGTGTAACTCTTGTCAAAAGAACGCCAACCTCTCTCTACTTTGGGTTTGTTGTCGTTAGTTGAGCTTCTTTCCATTTACCTTCGTTGTTTCTTGTTACAAAGGTCCCGCTGATGTCCTCCGGTAGAACATCAGAACATACCGGGCTACGGTTTGGCGTGGAAATTGAGCTTGTGCTGAGGAGCAGATACCAAAAGCATACAACATTCACCAGTCTAGCTTCCGAGATCTGCCAGCGCCTCAAGGAAGCACAGGTTCCGAGCCACATCGGCAACCTTCTTCAGAAGACGGGCGCCACTGAAACCTACCAAGAATGGACTATCATTCAGGACTCTACCCTTCCGTCAAACGCGACAGAAAACAAGTGTAAGTGACATAAGCTCGTTTCAATATTTGGAACTACGTATGCTGAGTCTGCCCTAGTTGGTGTTGAACTGGTGTCACCAATTTTCCACATCCAGCAAAAGCACATATGGATCAGCCAAGTGCAGCAG